TATCTGCAACTGCAGCCATAGCCACCATACCACCTTCAGAATCATCTGAATCTTGGCGTTCAAGGTTCGCTCCTTCCTCCTTTTCTGTCGATCCCTTGTCTTTTATGTACCAACAATTCTTGGCCAAGTGTCCCCACTTTTCACAGTTATAACACTGCATACATTTCTTATCTTCTTTGTCCTTTCGATAGTTTCCTCCTCCCCTTTTCGAGGATTCAGAAGATCTATCTTCAACCTTATTCTTATGGGAATTCGACCAAGACTTCTTGTCACGAGTCTTGTCGAACTTGCCTTTGAATTTGTTAGAACAACCATCATTTTTTCATGACTGACTTGCAGTGCCTGTATCGAGTCCTAAACTCCTTTCTTTTCGACAATCCTTATCTCATGCACCTTCAACGAACCAACTAAATCTTCCACTTTAGTGGTTTTAAGATTGTTGGATTCTTGAATAGCTACGATAACGTGATCAAAGTGAGAGGTCGACGTTCTCATTACCTTCTCAACTATCATCTTATCAGTAGTGATTTCAGCACAACTCTTCATGAGATGGACGAGTTTCTGAACCTTCGACACATATTTTGCAACTTTTTCTTCTTCTCCCATCGACAACAACTCATATTGTCGATGCAAGGTTTATAATTTGACAACCTTGACTTTCTCACCTCCTTCGTAATACTTCACCAGAATATCCCATACCTCCTTCGTCGTTTCAGCATGAGAGATTCTGTCGAAATTAGCAGCATCAACAGTTGTTTAAATGCATTAAGCAACCTTGCAATCTTTCTTCTTGACTTTGTTGTGGACTTTTTTCTGTTCGTCGGTTGCATTTGCAGCTAACGCAGGAACGCCGTCGGTAACCACTTCTAGGGTTACATGGAAACCAAACAAGGATTGCATCTGTTTTTTCCATCGGATCCAATTTTTGCCGTCAAGCATTGGAAGAGAATTCAGAATGCCCTTATCACTAGCCATCTTCGTAGCGGTTGATTCACTTGCCCTAGAAACACGATCTCTGACGTGAAATTCTTGAAAATTTGATCAAGAACAATAACTGGAAGCTCTGATACCAATTTGTTAGTGCGTGAGACACTTTTAGTGAGGAGAGAAAGAGAGAATAATAAAATAAAAATAAAAATTTATATTATTGAATTGTACAAATAATAATACATATTATGACTATTTATATATCATCCTAATCAAATCTAATTTAATATTTTAATAGAATTCATATCCTAATTCATATCCTAAATCATAGCCTGTCCAATCTAAGGATCATACATTATATTTGGATAGATATGATTCCCTGGTTTAATATGTGTTTTCACTTTCATTCTACAAGTTTATGTTTCATCTTAACTCTCCAAATCATTATATTGGATTTTTTTGATTAAATAATCTAATAGTATTCACCCTTTAAAAATAGTTAGAATTTACCATTTAATAGATTCTCCCATATTAAATTTTATATATTCTCCCGTTTCTTTCATTTTGTCAATCCAATGTAGCTCCAAACATCTCATCACCATCTTGAACAATCTTGATACAAGTCAAAGTCAAGATAACCTTGTTTACATTTATGATGTTCCCGAATGTATCACGTATCAATATCAAATCTTCGTTATGATGATAATATAATAGTCTCTCCATTTTAAATTTATTTTTGTTTTAACAAATGAATTTACTCTCGTTTTAACAAATGAATTGTATTTTAAAATAATTATCATTTTTATTTTTCAATATAATTATTATTATTATTCTTTCTATTGTGTTATTTATTTTTTATTCTCTACACTAATTTTAATATATTAATATAATTAATTTTATAAAAGTATAATATTTTATAATAATATTATTATATTTTTAATTTGTCTGTAAAAACGTTAAACAACTATTGTTATTTTAAAATAAAGGGAGTTCAACGGGCACACCTTACAATAAAAAATTTGACATTGATGTATTTCCTAAAATTGTAAATTATTTAATGCGAACATGTTACAATAACAAACGCTTTCCCATCACTACTACTACTTTTCACAAGGAATAATGGCTAGCTAGTCATTTCCCAATCACAACTTTTTCTCATTATGTAATTAAATTAATCTAATCAACTTTATGAATCTACATAAACAAAGAAAAATTAACTTTTATGAAGATATCATTGTTATGAGTCTTCAAAATGATCTGTCTCATCAAAGATTTCCTCCTACACAAAATTATACAATGATATATTAATTAATAAGTTTCTTCAAAATTTTAATCAAGAGTTAAATAAAATTAAATAATTGATTACCTGCAAAAGCTCTTCAATTACATCTTCCATTGTAATAATTCCAACAGCTTCTTCTTTTTCAGGTAGTTTTGGAATTGAATTTCCATCAATTTCCAAAATATCTGAGTAAATATTTTGTGACCAATTTTTTCTCTTAGAAGAACCAGTGCTTCTATTTGAATTACTCGCATTCTATGTACCAGATTCTTTGATTTCAGATGTCTTAAACTTCTAAATTCAGATGACTAAATCTTCTATGCCACAGCTCACTCTCCTTGAAAACACTTGTTGCACTAAGACATTCAGAGTCTGCAATTCTAACATTCACCTTGAATGTTCTGTTCCTTCCCTGTTCTGACTCCATAATCAGCTTCTAATTACAGTCATACAGCTTCAGAAGATTGTCCTTCATGGTAACTGAAAAACCTTTCTCAACCAGTTGTCCCACACTCATTAGATTACTTTGTATGCTTGGTACATACCATACATTCTAGATCACTGCTGCTTTCCCATTATTTAGAATGATTCTGACATTTCCTATATCTTCTGCATTGAGGTATTTATCATCAGCACATCTGATCTTTGTATTCTTCCCAGAGTCAAAATCAACCAAGCACTTCTTGTTTCCAGTAAGATGGTTTGAACACCCTGTGTCCATATACCACCATTATGATGAATTTAGATCATCAGGTTCAAAAGCCAACAGTAGCAGAGGTTCATCATCAGACTCTCCTCTTGCTATATTTGCTTCTTCTGACTTCTTTTCTTCGTTGGACTAGCAATCTCTGGCATAGTGACCAAAGTTCTTGCAATAGTAACACTGAACATTCTTCTTGTCAGTCTTCTCCTTTCTCTTCTAGATATTCTTCTACCTATCAGAGTTTGAAGCTTCTGACCTTTGACCACCATTAGTTTTCTTCCTGACTTCTGACCAAGTCTGCTTCTGATGCTTCTTACCAGAAGTTACTTTCAGAGCCTGCTGCTCTACTTCCCTCTCAGAAGTTCTTGCAGTCATACGCAACTCATGCGCTTCTAGAGTACTTTGCAGCTCTTCAACTCTCATGGTGCTCAGATTTTTGGAATGTTCAATTGCTACCACAATATAATCAAACTGAGAAGTTAAAGATTTCAAGATCTTCTCAATAATTACCTGTTTAGACAGAGTTTCTCCACAAGCTTTCATCTCATTAGTGATCAGAATCACTCTAGAGACATATTCAGAAATCTTCTCGTTGTCCTTCATGTTGAGATTCTCATATTGCTTTTTGAGAGACTGAAGCTTCACCTTCTTCATTGATGCGTCACCATCGTAACATCTGACCAGTGTGTCCCATGCAGCCTTCGCTGTTTCAGAATCAACAATCTTCTCAAACACATTTGCATTCACACATTGATGGATGTAGAACAACGCCTTCTGATCTTTCTTCCTCAGCGCCTTCTATGCTATCTTCTGTGCCTCTGTTGCATCTGCTTCTAACATATCATAGTCATCGGTGACAAGATCTAACACATCTTGAGCACCAAATAACACATGCATCTGGATCTTTCAACGATTCTAATTTTTTCCATCAAATACTGGAAGCTTGGAATGAATATCGATGTCGTTTCCGTTCATCTTCTACCTTGTGCAATACACAGAAACTCAATGAAAACAATGTTTCTCAAATCCCAGAGTTTCTAACCAGGAGCTATAGATACCAATGTTGGTGTACAAGGAAGATAAAAGGCAAAATGAATATTTACTGACAACTTCAAAATAAGGATTTACAATGAATTACAATAACTTACTCCACTAGATTATTTATACACAAAATTAAATCTAAAATATATCTTTTAACAAAGATATAAGAAGATCTAAAATATATATCTTTTAACAAAGATATAAACAATTTAAAAAATATTTCTAAATATAAATTAATATCTAATTAATTATAAAATCTAAATTAATTCTAACAATTTCTTGGTTTGATATGTGTTTTCACTCTCATTCTACAAGTTTATGTTTCATCTTAACTCTCCAAATCATTATATTGGATTTTTTTGGTTAAATAGTCTAATAGTATTCATCCTTTAAAAATAGTTAGAATTTACCATTTATATATTCCCCCATATTAAATTTCATATATTCTCCCGTTTCTTTCATTTTGTTAATCCAATGTAGCTCCAAACATCTCACAATCTTGATACAAGTCAAGATAACCTTGTTTGCCCAAAACTTTTTGTCAATTAGTAACATTTATGATGTTCCCAAATGCATCACGTATCAATATCAAATCTTCATTATCACATAATCCATTTTAAAATCATTGTCATTTTAACAAATGAATTTTGTTTTAAAATAATTGTTATTTTTATTTTTTAATTATTTTTTCAATTGTATTATTTACTTTTTATTTTCTATACTAATTTCAATATATTAATAAGATTAATTTTATAAAAATATAATATCTTTAGATAAGAATCATTTTAAAATGAAACAACTACAACTACACACGTTACAATAAAAAATTTGACGTTGATGTATTACCCAAAATTGTAAATTATTTAATGCGAACATGTTACAATAACAAATGCTTTCCCATCACTACTACTACTTTTCACAAGGAATAATGGCTAGCTAGTCATTTCCCAATCACAAACTTTTCTCATTATCTAATTAAATTAATCTAATCAACTAATATAAATCTACATAAACAAAGAAAAATTAACTTTTATGAAGATATCATTGTTACGAGTCTTCAAAATGATCTGTCTCATCAAAGATCTCCTCCTACACAAAATTATACAATGATATATTAATTAATAAGTTTCTTCAAAATTTTAATCAAGAGTTAAATAAAATTAAATAATCGATTACCTGCAAAAGCTCTTCAATTACATCTTCCATTGTAATAATTCCAACAGCTTCTTCTTTTTCAGGTAGCTTTGGAATTGAATTTCCATCAATTTCCAAAATATCTGAGTAAATATTTTGTGACCATTTTTTGCTCCTAGAAGAACCGGTGCTCCTATTTGAATTACTCGCATTTGGTAAGCTTTTCCTCTTATGAAGTTGCATTTTGTTTTTCAACATTTTTTCTTGAGGAGTCTTTTCCACGTCAATATTGATCTTCACATCTCTCACCGAATCTATTTCACATTTGTACATAATTAAAATCAAAGAAGTTTAATTTAATCACAATTTATAAAATGATGATATAAATATGGACATTAGACACGGCATCGACATGACATAACTTAGAAAAATAAATGACATTAGACACGACATTGACATGTGCTCGATTACCATTGCAATTATTGTTGGAAGATTGTTGCCCTATCTTATCAAAATTTCTCACAACAACAGCCATGTGGCTATGTCCCTTTTGGAATTCATTCAATATATCATACAGTGGCATCATTTCTGGAACCCTGTCAAAATATTTAATAAAACTTAAACATTGATTTATAGTAACTAATTCTATTTATTTTAATATTTCAAAATATAATGATACCTTGGTATTTTACGTATGGTCACACTTTTCACAGGTAGTTCCTCTTCTGGATCAATAGTTAATAAATTCTTGATCTAAAATTAAAAAGCATGCATTGCTTAAAAGTTAAAACAGAGATCAAGAACAATAATAGTAAATAAAATAAAATAAAATAAAATAAAATATATACTTATATTAAAGGATCATAACAAATAGAAATTTTGCTTTATTACCAGAATAAGTCCAATGATATTCGTAGGCTCTTCATAATAAACAGGGACTCTGCTATGTCCTTTCTCCAATATAACATTCATCAAATCTCTGCTTAATAAAATCAACCATTTAGTTTGAGAATCGAAAATCATATGAAACTTGGAAAATTTATCTTAATTTTTTAAAATAATTTTTAAACATGTTACATCACCTATCAAGTTTTGAATTAATATCAATAGAAAATATTTCATTTATAGGACTCATAGCATCACCAGCAGTTTTCTCAGAGAGTTCAAGTGCTCCAGCAATGATAGTTGTTTCATCATGTGTTAGTTCACCACCTTTTCCAGCCTAACATTAACAAAATTCATCAAAGATTCAAAATTAAATAATGATTTAACTGTAAGAATATTTTACGTGGAATCATAAAAAAAAAACAGTGTCGTTGTTTTGAAACATACCTCGTTACCATGTAAATTTACTAGTGTTTTCAGCTCAGCTCTGCGGAAAAGAGCTTCATGGCGATGACCAAGCAAAAAATCCAACAACTGAATATAGAAAGTTGAAATTAAGAAATAAAAGTCGAATTTGAAAAGAATTCAATAAAAATTATTTTGAATGTCTATGTATATTACCTTGCTAATTGGATAAGCAACAGGAAAACATATCCATACAAGAACACGAACAACCGGAGCCACTGTTGCACCGATCGTTAAACCATATCGAGAACAAACTGATTGAGGAATAATCTTCAAAGAAGTAATAGAAAGAAAGAAAGAAAAAATGTAAACATGTTATGTGAAATATACTAAATTCAAAATGCAAGGAAATTTTAAAAAAACACTCACCTCACCAAAGAGAAGAATTAGTGTCACAGAAATTAAGATAGCTCCCCAAGCAACAACAAGACTATCAAGAAATATCGGAAGTGCCTGATCAGATATCAGTTCAATGGTAAGAGTTTAATCGCACACAAAATCTCGAAAAACATAATTCGAAATTCTCAGAAATATCAAATTACTATCGGTGTCACTTTAACGATAAATTTTACAAAATAAAAAATAAATAACACGTGAATTTAGATGTACCTCCATGGCAGCAGCATTGCAAATCAAAAGAGTGCAAAGCAATAGATGTTGATTTTTTACAACAGGCAATATTTTATCTGAAACAACAAAACAAAACACAAATTTATACATAGATCAGATACATTAATTATTTAATATTATTTAAAAATTATAAAGAATTGGCAATTCACAATTTTTAATAAAATTACCATAGCACGTTGTGATTCTGACAAACTCACAGTGAAATCACACATGCATAGAAGAATTTAAGCAATAAAGAAAACATCATATGAATTTATGAATAGAACAGTACCAGCATGTTTTCGATCCTGAGGAGTACCAGATTTAGCAAGAACCTCAAGATCAACAAGGCTCAAAGACATGAGACCTAAAGTAAGCCCAGACATCAATCCAGCAAACACAACAAGCAACACAATTATCACTATCCTTATGAAAAACTCTGTTTCACAACACTGATATTCCACCGTCATTGAAAATCAATCAACCACAAACACAGAACCTGTTCTTGTTACTTTTTTTTATGTTGGGGGAATGAGACAGTGTGGTTAAATTTATGCTAACGTTGTATTGTATTCTGTTTTTGTACTTGTTTCTATTTTATTTGAGTCGGCGAGTGAGGATCATCGATAATGAAGCCAGTGTGGGACCTACTGCCATTACTTTAACCGAACTTGGCACTTTCTTTATAAAAACTTGCATGTGTTTTTGATTTGGATATTGCCATTTTGGTTATGTGTAATGCAACTTTGATGTTTTGATTCTGGTAATATTCCATTTGGTTGAGTTGAGTCTTGTGTTTGTAAATTATTACCATTAATTGTTATGTGTAATCTCACTCACCACCAGCTGTTAGAAAGAGACATAGAAAACTGGTTTGTTTTTATGTTTTTTTTAAAGGAAATGAAATCCTGTTTAAAAAATTTCAAGATAACTAATAGTAATATATGTTTGAAAAAAATAAAAACAAATTTGAAATTTAGTTGAGTGATTGAAATCATGTTTGATCTGTAATAATAATGTCATACATAATGTAAGAATAATGTGCACGACAATGCAATGATGTAACAACAAATATCAAATATGAAAAGTAAATGACATTGATAATTGTTAATTTAGTCCGATGCAAAATTATCTATGTTCGGAGGGAATCGGTTTAATGAGAGAAATTCACTAATTAGTAGTTAGTAGTAAACGGCAGTCTCATTTGAACTCTCACAACTATGTATTTTTTTTCTATAACTATTTGTAAATTTTGATCCAGACTCCTCTTAAATCTGAGATCCTTCTCACTTTCACTCAAACACTCTCTCAAGTGTTTGGACAATTAGAGAAATATAAGACATGATAAATAACAGTTACAATCAAATATTATATCCTTCTAACTTATGAAAGATATCTAAGAATAGAGTATTATAAACTCAAAACAAAAGACTCAATGAAAACAAGAAAAACGACAAACTTAATTCTACAAGGTCTAAGTCTTCAAACAAAATGAAATATATCCTTAAATAGCAACAACATCCAGCCAAAAAAGTTCATTAGGGTTTTGACATAATAACGACTAGTTTTCAAAGAGCGCATGATGAATATTTTTTCATTAAGTCAATTCTAAATCTTGAAGATATCAAATCTAATTAAATCTTTACTTGTCGAAAATAAGAATTTCAATATCTTCAACGAAAAGATTCTGAATAAAATATTTTCAAAAAAGAAACGCGTTATAAATCAAATCATTGATTGAACAAAAAAAGAAACAAATCTTATTGCAACGATATTCAATCAGAAAGGGTAAGCACGCCAAGCAAACAGGCCGGGACAAAATGTCTCACACTAAGTTAGAACTTTTTGCTTAACATGTTGTCTCAAAAATTTTCCAATAAAATATAATATCAAACTTCCCATATGCCTATTTTTTAGGCAAAAATCAACAACAGGCGAGATGTTATGCACATTCTTACACATAAACATCCGGACCAGATCTTTAGATCACAACAACTACAAAGATCATAAAAAAACAGACAAAGCATTTGTGAATGCAACATCAAATCATAGCAGAACATAAAAGAAACATGCATTCAGCATTATCAATATAGATCACAATGGATAGTGAAAACCACATAGAACTAAAAAAAAGGTTTTATTCTTCCTCTATTTTCCTCAAAATAGATAAAAAGGAGGAAATCATAATTAGCCACAGATGGACATATAAAACAGAGATAATAACTAGCCACATATGGCATACAACATTAGAAAAAAGCATATTATCGGCCTCATTCATAGGCAAAACTCCAAGAGAGAACAAATTGTTCGTCCATACAAAGGCATACATCTTCAATAAAATTAAAAAAAATCTAACAAAAGATTAAAAAAAAATCATAGACCCGTCAACATTTTACTGAGATTAGACAGAGGAGTCATCATCATAGAAGGTCTCGTACTCAAACTTTCATCTTCATTATCAGTAGCCATGTTTTCATCATCACCCAATGTCATAATGTCATAACATCTTTCTCAGCATTGTAACACTCCATTTCTACCCAACGAATTATAAAAAATCAGTTACAAAATTTACAACAAACAAATATAATGCTATAATTTCAACTTAAAATAACGATATTTAACACAGATACATAACACTTTAAACACGGATGAACCAACATCAACATAAATTAATCTTTAAAACCATCAACTTTCATAACTACGCAGCGGAATCATAAAATTCGACTTAAAAGAATGTAACATCTTTATCCAACTGAATCAACTCCAAATAATAAGTGCTTAAAGAAAATCAACTTAAAATTCAACAACTAAAGTAATAACAATGATAAAGCAACTAGCGTTCATCCCTCCGAGTGTTACGTATCAGAGCAATGACACCAACTCGAACTACTGATAGTAAACCACTTTCACTATGGATTACCTGCACATTACCAACATATGGGTAACATTCAAACAGAAGGGATGACCTATCGAACAATATAACAGAATATATGATAAATAATATATTAGAAACAGTTCATACAAAATCACCACTTCGCAGCTCTTTAACAACATTAACATCATCAATCAATCCACACAACAACTAGAATGCAACATGAAATGCGACTTATTTTTATGCACATGCATGTGGTACCAATGGAGAAAAACTCCCAACTTAATAATCTGCCAGTCAACTTTATATTTTTTCCAATCCAGGCCAACTTACCGAGTATGAGCTCCAACTTGATATACTATGTATGCGACAACAGTATGAATCTAGTAACAACAACAACAATAATTCAACAACAACAATAATTCAACAACAACAATAATAATTCAACAACAACTCAACATAATTTAACATTGACCATAAGCCTACAACTTAATACTTGCCAATAAATAGAGGCATCTCAACAAGATTCATCAGCACCTGCCAATTCTCAATTTATAACAAGCATACAATACAACATATCAACCAAAATATACTATGACGTCCTGCGTAATTATACGAGCAATTCAATTATATTCGGCTAAGTAGTTTTCTACTAAAATACAATTTTGTTCTCATACAGTTACTGAAAACTCTACTAAATTACTGGGACTGCTAAACTAAAGTAATTAACCAACTCAGCATGCACGGGCGTTAAGAAATAAGGGAGAATTATGCGCTCCTCGACAGGCACATGAACCAAGAAAGAATTAACAAATAACATGTGCCCCTCGGCACCACCTTTCGCTTCGTGCAGCTCGACACAAATATCGTGCTCCTCGGAATGCCTTGCAACCTAATACCGCTCGACACCCAACACATGTATTCCCTGACCCACCTTGCAGCCTAATATCGCTCGGCGCCTAACACCTGTGTCCCCCTCGACACTGCGTGTCTTCAAAAATTTTGCACAAACTGAAGGGGTGAAAAACACAAGAAGGGGGGGGGGGGGGTTGAATTGTAAAACTGAAATCTTAAAGCAATTGACAAGATATTTTTATCCTGGTTCGTTTGATCTCAAACTACTCCAGTCCACCCGTCAAGGTGATTTCGCCTCTCTCCAACGAGGTCTTAATTCACTATATTCAACTGAATATTACAGACTGCTTTAACAACTGCTAAAGCCTTCTTGATTCAAACCACAATCCGGTTTGTCAAGGCAACACTTTCTTACAAAGGTATAAAACAAATGTGTGTGAATGTTTTCTACAAAACTTTATCACAACTGTGATGTATACACAAATGAAGCTTAGAAACTTAGATTGCTAAACACTAATGGAGTATCAGAGTTTGTGGTTTAGCAAAACTGGTAGATGAAGATTATTGTTCAGCTTTGTGCGTGTAGAGAATTGGAGAGCATTAGCCATTATAATCTTCGAAGCTTTGTTTATATAGCACTTGAGAAGATGAACGTTGAATGCAATATTCTTGATTCAATGCTAATAACAAGCTTTCCTTTTTGAGCAGATCTTGTCTAGAATGATGCCGTTGGAATTAATTAGCGTTCAATGCACAGTACCGTTGCTTCTTCAATGCACGTTCTGGCTTGGCTCATTCTGATTCTGCTTCGCTGCTGATGAACTATTGTTTTTGTATCAGAGTGTTTACGCGCAGTTCTGTTCATCAAGCTTCAGCATGTACGTGAGTTGATCATCTGATCTTCACGTTCTGATTCAGCAACTTCTGATGCTGGTGTATCAAATCAAATTCTGATGCTGAAGAAGTGATCTTGCTTATTTTAATCAGCGTATCTGCAAGTCAGAGCATAGTGATTTTAGGTAGCATATAGTTCAAACATGAAACATATAAATACTATATCTTTTCACTTTGTTATCATCAAAACTTAAATATAGGGTACTAGATTCAAACATTGTTCTAACAATCTCCCCCTTTTTGATGATGACAAAAACTAGATATTTTAAATAAAAAATAACGTGAAAAGGTATCTAGGAAATGTATCAGAATAAGAAGTACGGAAAAATCAGAGTTAAGAGATACTCCCCCTGAGTTTGTTACTTCCCTTTGATGATACGTGTTCTTCAGGATCAGATCTTTGTCTTTCTTTGAACATCAGATTAAGAGTCTTTGACTTGTCAGAGAGCAGAGCTTCAGAGCTTTTCCAGTCAGAGCTTTGCTTCGGATCAGAGTGTTAGGTCGATCAGAACTTCATATTTGATCAGAGCAACATGAGCTTCTATATTTTGATCAGAGCTTCTAGCTTCTAGTCTTCATAGTGTTCAGGAGCTTCCTTGTGCCTGTAGACTTTAAACAAAAACAGAAAAACATTTCAGGTAATAGAGTTAGAATGTTTGAGAATTTCTGTCTAGTTAGCCGTTATTGATTTTAAATATCATTCTTGTTCTCCCCCTTTTTGTCAGCAATCAAAAAGTGTTGGTGATGTGCTAAAACAATTTTATCAGAAAAACTAATCATATTAATAGTTCAGAATCAGAGCAAAGGAACATTACAAAAACTCAATCAAAACAGTACATCAGAAAATGA